TTTTTCTTTTTTTTTTACCAATAACATTAATATAATATATTATACTTATTTTAATCTACATCTATGTCAACTCATTCTATCTATAATCTAATTTATTTAGTGAAAATACAAATTTTCATTAAAATGAAGTAAATTGGTGATATTTGTCAATTTATACAAAACATACCAAATAAAATCTGTATTATTTTATGGCCTTTCTTTTAATGCCAGAGCCCAGGTGCTGAAAGGGAAGATCAGGATTCATGGAAGTGTCCTTGTCAATGATGCAATCATGATAAACTCCAGGGCCACGCGTCCCCCCCCTAGAATTCAGTTGCATCTATCATCGGGTGTTGCAGGTCAGATTAGCCTTATGCACATGAGGAAAGTGGGAATTACTGTGGTGTTTTAGATGAAGTGACGTCTGTAAATAATCAAATGTTGCGTATCGAACAGTTTCCAAATTGTCTAGGAGCCGTTTTCCATCTTCAACAGTCGTGTCGCCTTTTTGTTTAATATTAATGTTAGTGATGGCTACGAGTAGCACTCATTCATTATCTTGACAGAGAATAATTAGGAGACATGCCAAAACCTGTTCCGCGTTTTGATTTCAATAGTAATAAGGTTAACAAAATAACCCAACCATGCCAAATAACAACACCTTTAGCATGTTTACTGATGAATGAACATCTGGTTTACTCACTCGTCTTTGAACTTTTTGTCTAAAATTGATTGTTTTTCCAAAAAAAAAAGATTCGCGTCCAGAAAAAATATGTGGGCTTCTTTGTACAACCCTATGTGCTAATAAAAATAATTTTTTTTGTACGTGCCGTTGTTACACGATTTTTTAATTTATTTATTCTTTATTTGTGTCTAATTCAGTAATTCAGGCAAACAACGCATCTATAAATAAATAAAATTAATAACATATATACGTTTTGATCAAAAATGTCTAATCGAAGAGAAATGAGAAAAAGAAAAAACGAAGATCAAAGAGAAGAAAATCTGTTAAAGTAAGTATTGTCAGAGGGTGATTTTTTTTTAGAGTTTAGAGCTATTCTAGTTGTTTAAAAAGAATGGTGGTGGTGGTGATTATCAACCTGTCACTTATCATTCTGATGATGGTGATTATTCATTAATTTAGTTTTGATTTAAACTTTGATCTTTATTTATTTTTTATAAGTGAGTCGACACCAACATTATCAACTACTGCTGGTATGTTAATTATGTTATTTGATTTATTTGATAATGCTACATTGAAAGAAATATCACTTATATTAATTATTACTATCGTTTCTTTTTCTCTATTACTTAATCAACTGATCAACAATTTCATATGATACCTTGGAATGATAATGGTCCTCAACAAAATCTCATATAATTTGTATCATGGAATTCAAATTGATTTTATCTATAGATACTATCGCTACTCCTACAATGATATCACCTGATACAGAAGCAGATGAACTAATAACTTTTGATTTTTCCAGTTTGGAAAAACAATTAAATATTGAACATGATGATGATGAACATGTACATAGTAATTGAAATTTGATCTTTGTTTATTATATAATATGCTGAATTTCTAATTGTTGTTTGTATGTTACAGTGGTTTGTTGATGGAATAAATGTATCAAGAAGGTTTGTTGAATATCAAAAAAGCACTTTATATGACATGAAAAATGGTATTAAAAAACTTACCTGGAACAATGTTTTTGAAGTACTGTAAGTACAATCAGTTTACAAGTATATTTAATTTGTTATCATGATAGAAATGCTACAATTAGTGAAGTTTGGGAATCAAATCAATCAAATTTTTACCAACAACACATATCACATCTTGGTTATCATTGTTAACGATCAAATAATAAGTATTAAAGTTCTTATCTTCTAATTTTTTAATGGTAAAATATGATACAAAAATCTCAAAATTTGGATTGATATATATTATTTTCTTTACAAGTTTCTGACTTTGTTATTTAACAACAAAATGTGGTGCAATATACACTTCTATTCATGGATGCAAACTAAGTTTAAAATTTATAATCAAATTTACATATCATGAAATTATTTTCTCAATTACATTTAGTGCCATGAACTCTATAATGGTCATGGACTGGCCATGTCCTTATCACAATTTTACTCTTGATGAATGGATATCTATTACTAACACAAACACATTCAAAATTAACGATCCCATTATCAGCACAGAACTCACCACAAAGTTATATGATGTGTGTGGCAAAAATTCATTAGGAATGAATATAGATCTTGTACTTAACAATGCTGATAAACATGATAGATTGGCTAAAAAAATTTTCGATAATTTGTAAGTTAATTGGTTCATCTTTGTCAATAATAAGAAAAAAACTAAATTTCCCTATCATTTATTATTTAGAATTGATGATATCCAGTTTGTAGCACCTTATCATACATCTGAAGATGAACACCGATTCAATTACATGAATCCATTCCTAAAACCTATTTTTAGCACACCATACAAAAACTATCAAATAAGGTTAAATAGGACAGTCAATGGAAGCAATAAACGACCAGACTTTGCATGTATAATAGATAATATACCAATACTCAATTCAGAAGTGAAACCAATCGGTTACACTAAACTACAAAAAAACAAAGATTATATTAAAGCAGTATTGAGATCAAAAAAATCAATAAATACCATGATAGATAGAAAAGATGGTCCAGAAGAAGCTGTGCACTTTATTAACATGGGTTAGTATATATCTATCTTATAATGAGATTGCCTTTCAATTATTCAATTCTATGGTCAGCACTTGATATATAGTGAAGTTTTACATTATATAGGGCATGGACAATAGAAAAGGGGAAACTACCAAAATCATGATTTTGAGCTAACAACACTTTTACATGTAATTCACCACAAGGAATAATTTTAGCTTAGAAACCATACCTCCTTTTCTATTGTCCATGCCCTATATAATTAATTGGGAAAATTTTTTCAAAACCAACCTATTCTATAATTCATTCACTTAACTGTTCATATAAAAATTTAGGAAGCATGATTGAGTCTTTTGTCACTGATCTCAAATACAATGGAATATACTGCATGTGGCCATTTTTGAAGAGTAGTCTTGTTAGAGACAGAATAACATTGCCACTTTTTGTCTCAACATTTTCACATTTTATAGCATTGGAGGTAGATATGTATTTTCACATTTTTATTATTAACATTAAATATGAAAACACCTGCTTATGATTTCATACACTTTGTACTTGCAGAAGCATGTTAATTTGTTAGTTGAAGATTTTAGAAGGAGGCCTTCATGTTTCACTCCTCAAAGAAAAAAACATAAAAGAGAATCTCCTGAATCTCCTGAATTAAAACTTTTATTGGGTTAACAATGGTATTTTTTCATTATATTATAATAACAATTTCATTTTATTTTATGTGGGTAGATTGTTGTCTGTAGTTTGTTTTAGATCTCTTTGTTGAACAAAAAATATTTTTTAATTATTATTATGGTAACAATAATAATTTATTAGTATTAAATAAATAAGCAATTATTAAGTGTATTAGAAATATTACAAATTGTGTCATCATTATCACTATTAAGTTGCTTCTAGGATTTGTTAAAACTGTTATGTTCACTTTTACAAATGTTTCTAAGACAAGTCATCCAATTTTGAATCATCTAAAATACCATAGATAGATGAAAACTAAGATGATGTAAAATAAATGAATATTATATATTAAAAAAATGCGATTTTGGTACATGTTTTGCTTCACTTTCATCCATGATGTTTTTGATTGCAAGAAGTTTCTTATAGAACAAGTGAATCAAGCTTTAATTATCAAATCAAGCAATCTATATTCGTAGAAGTAATAACAAAGATAAGAAGTCCTAAAGAGTAAAGAAATGTTGATATGTTTTTTAAATGATGTATAATAATAAAAGTTAATATTAAGACTGATTCTACTATATGAACATTTTCCATACAATAGACTTTTGATGAAAGAAAAACAATTTTTATTCCATAAGTAAAAACAATTATGAACTTTTGCTCTTTAAAGCACAATCTTTTATATCTCAATAGCTTTTCAAAGAAGCCTATACTCTTTGACTTTGGAAGTGCCATTCTTTTCAAGGAACAACTTTATTAAGATCATTTAACATGATAATATAAGATCTTTTCAGAAAATGTATGTCTTGTATGGGGTTTTTCCTGTAATTGTGATATAATGTTCACTTTGTTGGGTTTTGTTGCAGTATGCCCCAT